TTTGAGCCACGAATCCGGCCTGATCGGTGGTAGCAGCAGGCCCCCAGATTCCAAAATTGAGCAGTTGAGTTCTTTGTGTATCCGCATTGACTCCCTTGCCGTCATCCGCCACCTCTCCTTCCAACCCACCAGCACTTCCTGGGGGTAGCGGACAGAGCCAAAGCGGATATTGTCCGAAGTTTTCAGGCCGGTCCAACCAGTCCAGGAACTCGGCAGCAGTGGATATTGGTACACCGACATCCTGGATGATATATCGACGCCCAAGCCCACTGACATGTAGGGCGTGGTACATCACCTGGGTGTGCATGAATCGGTTGAGAATCCAACGTGTGAGGAAGGTGAATGGAACACAGAAGTAGCGAAAAGCATAACGGGCAACCCAGAAACCACCTCGATCATAACGGAAAAGGTAGTCAGCGAGAGGAATGTAGTCCACCGCATCTGGCATGTGAGGTGAACTCTCTCGGTCGGACATGTGGGAGATCTTGGATTGAGCAATTCGGCCGACATGCAAATAGAACCAATCGTCTTGTCGGCGCGTAAAGTGTTTCAGCTTTACATTAGAAGTTTGTTCAACTTGCCTTCCAGCACAAACGACGATCTTGTCCCGTGCATAAACGATTCCATCCAGATATTCCGTGCTTGGATCAGCGCTAGCCTCTTCAAAGGCCTGCACCGCATCCTTCATGTTGGAATTGACATAATATTTCAGTTCCACCAATGGCTGTGACTTTTTCAATCGAATCTCCAATAGGGTGACTACCCCCAAGGTACCGAAGGAAGATGCGGTGCCCCAGAACAAGTCAGAGTGTTTATCCGCCACTTCCGATGCCGTCTCGACGCGGTCGTTGTATGCCTTCACCACCTGACCATCTGCCAGAACCATTTCAATCCAATTGACTGTATGGTCGAAAAATCCCTCGCGGAAAGAGCTACTCTCCCCGGATGTCCCCGAGAATCCGCCACCAACCGATATGTTGGGGAACTCGACAACCACCAAAGGGACCAAACCATGGGCCTTGGTGGCAGCCACCAAAGCACTCATAGAGACATTAGGCTCAACTAGAGCTGTACATCTGTTGGTATCGATCTCGAGGATGTGCGTGAGAGGTTCAGTGCTGACCGTGTTGGAGAGTGATCGATTGGAAGGCCGAGTACTGTTGGTGGAACCATGATATATACGAAATGGTTCCTGGAGACTGTGGAAGTCCGCTACCCGTGCTGAGATTTCCTGCACAGCTTTAGTATGATCCATTATAGATATAAAATAAATAAAGTAAGTAAATATAAGGAAAAGCCAGAAGGTGGGAGATATAAAGACACAGAAAGAGAATGGAATGAGGAGAATGAGGAGAATGTCACGACCTCGGAAGGGTCTCCGCATTTAAAGTGACCACTACATTCATGCTGTTATGTAGTTAACTATGTACATGTAGAAATTATATGAAATCAAATTCAGTACTACAATATCGGTATCATCAACATAAAAAAAGAAAACAAAAAAAAAGACACAGAATAGAAAATCCCAAACTTATTGGAGGCCAACTGGACGTGCTCCAGCAAGATTGACTACCCTACCACCTCCAGCTGCTCCAATTGTAGGCGCCCGAGGCTGTACCCAACCAGGAACACTAGTATCATGACTTTCACGAGCAGAGATGGTTTGCCAAACATTGGGAAATCCCGTGGGCAAGATCCCTTTGATTTTGGCACCAGGAACGGCGAACCGAGGCTCACGATGGAGAAGGTAACCGCCCATCAGCCTTTGTGTAATCAAAGACGCGAAGATCGACTCAATCTCTTGCATCATGGATATGTCTGCTTCTGTCCTATCGTCGGGGTCGTACGCATATGGATCCAGTTCGTAATCGCCATAATTATCTTCTGGGTCTCCATCGACCAATTGACCCGGTACATTAGGCTGTGATCGCCCTTCCTCAGTGTAGAATCCATCCGGGGCCAAGAAATCACCATATTTTCCTAGTATCTCTTGATCGGTGGCGGGGCTGGCCCTTCCGTCTGCCCCTTCCAAACGAGTGTAGTCGAGATCTGTAGGTTCGGGAACGACTTGTGATCCATAGACGTGGGGCGTCATCACAGCACTGGCCGGGCCATTTCCGGACGATGCGTGCTGCATTTGTAGCCATCGGGTTGCCGCAGCGAGCTTTTTCAGGTTGAGAACTGGTGGAGGTCCCTTCTGCGCCTGCGCCTGTGGACCTCCATAGGAACCTCCATACATGAAAACTTTGCGTGCAAAAGATCGCCACACGAGAATCTCACATCGATTTCGGAGAGTAAACAGAATTCCTTTACGTGCAAACCATTGGGCGGTCGGCGAGCCAAATAAGAGATGTTGTCGGAAAGCCAGGTAATCTCCCCGGACAATCAATTGACACAGAGGCTGGAAGTGTGCTGCCAATCCTTGTGCTTCCGGTCGTTGGAGGAGGGCCTGGGATGGGAATCGACCCAAGATAATGTTGCACGGAATGAGATATGAGAGGATCAAGTGTCGTTGGCTTATGGCCTGGCGGTGACATTGGTCATAGGCGGCCTGCAAAGCGATGTGGGCGGGGAAGAAGAGATTATTGGCGAAAAGGTATCGGCCGAGGTAGTAGAGATAGGTGACACGCTGTGAGGCTGGGAAGTAGGCCAATGGGGGTGATTGGGCGCTAATGCTTGCAAACATCTGTTCGGCGTTGCGTAGCTTGCCGCACTGTGTTCTGTCAGCATCAAGCTCCGAAAGAAGGTAAAATATTCTGGGATAGTCCCTCCATACCTGGAATAGCAGTTTCAGACAGAGATTAGCCATGAGATAGATACCGATGCGCTTGCCCTCCGGCTTACCAGTAGGGCCGGGGGTGCCGGTGCGATCAGTGAGGCACTTGATGAAGGCTTCGCGCACCACATTGGCCGATTTCTCCACTAAAGTGACCTTCTCAATGCTCTCGTTCTGATCCGCCAGACCTTCCATTCGTCGAATATGCGCGATCAGGTCCGGCCGACGATCGAGGCCCATTGCCAATTTTGCCAGAACTTTGGACAAGTAGAGAACCGTAGGAAGAACGACGACACCCATTTGACTATCTCCGAGGGCGAGCACACATTGACTGCAGTTGATGAGAAGGTTGGGTCAGCTTTCAAGCTCGAAGATATGAGTAGCATCCTCGTCTGGGGAGTGGGGAGTGGGGGGAGTAGAGTGCATTCAGAATCCACCACGAGGGCAGCAAAACTTACTTGAGCAGCACCTTCAACTGGTTGTATGTTTCCAATAAGTTATCAGTATTCATATCGCGCAGGAAGATCAGGTAGAGCTTGACGAAAGTCGGGAACGCCGTCCATGAGCCACCCTTGGATCGCGGCACGAGAGGCTCGCATCGTTGAAGTAGCTGGGCGTCGGTTTTGGAGCCTGGGGCATAGTGCTGTCGTAATTCACCGACCATGCGCTGGTAAATGTCAGAGAGCGGGGGCTCGAGCTGAAGAAAGTCCTGGACTTTGGCACCATCGCGTTTCTGGACCAATTCCTGCAAACTGCCGAGGAATTGGTCGAGGACGGGGGTTTGACCCATGTTGAAAGAGCGAAAAGCTTGGTTGACTGGTAGAGTCGCACCAGAAAAATTAATTTGATTGAACGATCATTGTGTCATTTAAAGATTCTTAAAGGTCAAAGAAACCAAACGCCGGAGAGTCGCAGAGTCAAGAGGCTCATCTTATTGACGGCATTGATGGGCAGAACCCGTGACCGCCCTTTGTATACAATTATGGATGTATGGACTGTCTATTCTACATAACTACCTATGTACTTGATTTTCTCTGCCACTTCTTGGCTTTCCCTTTCCGCTTTAGTGCTCAGGCCTTGCCGCTTTTTGCTCACTGAGTAGAACTGAGCACGCCCCTGAGTATTACATAATCATAAGGATCGCTCACTGAGCATCACCTGATTGTTATATAAGCTGAATGACTCGCTCACTGAGCGTGCATCTGTGCCGGGTTCCAGCTGAGCGGGACCAGCTAAAAGTTGAACGGGACCTGCAAAAATGATGACTACATGTGCACACAGTGTACTGAGGTGACCTAATCTTATGAGTTACCCTGGCTGCGGATGGGTCCCAAGGTACATACACACGTACATGTACATGTATAGCAACCCTCCACCAATCTCCTTCTTTCCCTCCCTCGTCAAAGCACTATCATCATCATTCGCTTTCCTTGATCCTCGCCCTGTCGAGATCTACATTGACATAATGCGCAACACCCGGCCGTCCCCTATGGTCCGCAAATTCATTCGCGCCAACGCCTCAGCAGACCCGCCAAGGCCGTCATTGTTGCCCTCATCTGACAATTCTGCCGAGAATTCCTGGCCTCAAGACCCTATCCGAGACGAATATTGCTTCTTGTACGGGACATTAATGGATCCAGATACATTATCCAAAGTCTTAGGATCGTCAAAACCACCACCTATGATGCGCCCTGCTAGGATTATTGGTTACGAAATCAAACTTTGGGGCCCATACCCTGCTCTCCTCGATAATAAACCACTTCATCCAGTCGATGGAATAGTGTGTGGCCTCTTATCGCCGACGCAACTTGATCGACTTGCCGCCTACGAAACAGATAAATATCATCTTCAAGCTTGCTTGATTAACGTTCTGAATAATGACGGTAGCACCGAGAAAACCATCGAGGGAGTTTCTTTCATGTGGAATGGTCGACAGGATGAGCTTCGGAAGGGTACTTTTGACCTAAAGCAATGGGGGAAGGACAGACAGCTACGTGAATTGGACTGAGAATTACAGAAATGTCCAGGTTGGTTATTCGATGCTTTACGTCAGTGCTGGGCTTATACACGAACAGGATGTTTACTTAAGAATTCGAAATTTGCTTTAAGACGTTTTGCTTCAGAAAATGTTGCTTTGAGACCTCGTGCTAAGCTACATACTACGTAGTTTCTTTATAACAATATTCTTTCGGTCACCTTCACTCTCTTTCACCTTAAGCATCTCTTACTCTGACACTGTCAGTTCTCGCATAGGTCTCGGCTCAATAGCTCCTGATTTCCTATAGAACAGTGACTCTAAGATTCCACGGTTGACACCAGATAGTTCAAAGCTGGTCAAAACCTTCTTTAATCCTTGGACATCTCGAGTAAACCGTGGGAACATGGCGTCTGACGCTGACATCTTGGACGAATGGATAAAAGATGCCACAAACTCTACCCATGGTAAACAAGATTTCTCGTCCTTCGAAGCTGGTGCTTGACGAAACTCAATTGTAGTTTTTCCTCCGTAATACAGATTGGACAGGTTCCAAGCGAAGTATCTTCTGCCGCCGTCGTTCAAAAGATCTGCAATTTCGACATGATTTATGCATCGCTCGATTAGAGCCAAGCAACGACGGAAGGATTTTCCTTTCAGGCGAGCATTGTCGCAGTAGTTACTAGCTGCGTTATAGATGAGCTCGGTGCCTTCCAAATTTGCATCATCGTGTTTTAGTGCGTTATTTTTTTGAGAGGGGAACAGATCGCGCACCTCAATAAATTGGGGCATGGCGAGAAGTGAGGGCCATCAAAAAGTAATCGCAAAATAAACAATATTGTGGGGCAAAGTGCTCCTTTGGGTATGGACTGGCTCTTGATCAGTCTGAGTAATCAGTGAGCGATCAGTGAGCGCTCATTGGACCTTACAGCTTTGTCACGTGATGTGTCTGAGCAGCTCACTGAGTCTGAGCCCGGACTGAAATTTACTCAGTGAGCCTGACTCGGAGCGCCCTCGTAAAAGCGGCGGCAGCTAAGACAGGAAAGCCCCACCCAGCAGAGGAAAAATGGTACGTATAGCTACCTAGGTATGTAGTAATGATGGTTAGTTATGTTATTTGATGGTGATTATTTAAAACATAATCAAGGCTTCATCTTCATCTTAAGAATAACTCTCCTAGGAAATAATACTTCACTGTTATTTAATAGGTGTACTCCTTGTATATATGTACTATGTAGCCCATATAGCCCATAGTTATAGCCCTCGGAGAGTGATATATTGTGCTACGATCACCATTACTATACGTCTAATTCATTCCTATTGGGATTATAGACACCCCAAAAGTATTATCTTCTCAAGCATACCTTATTAAAACTGGTCGACATTGGTGGAATGGGCAAGGTAAAACAATTTCACATGGGATTTCCATATGTGGAGGGTGTTATGGAGAATAAATCAAGCCAATACATAGACTACTACTAGTTTATAGTATCTCATAGGTTATAAGTCGACCTAAAAATGTGCCAAGTACGTTGTTCTGGGATCAGGTTCTCTCTTATATGATGTCATCTAACTGTACCATCACATATAAAAGGGCATAAATCTCACAGCACTGGGAACTGGAAGTACAACGATTTTTGTTTCCTTATTTTCCCTTCTCAATAGTCCTCAATTCTCACCTGTACAAAAGAAAAAAAAACTCCCTCCATCATGGGTTCTGAGTCCTTTATCTCAGCGCTATCGGCCTTCATCCGGCATCCATTCGTAGAGACCTTTACTTGGCTCTACATGGCTATGCAAGCCGTGTTGGTTTACATATTTTCTCCTATACCCCCACCTCCTACCGCTCATAATCCAAATATTCCACGAAAGAGAGTTGCAGTCATTGGCGCAGGACTGACCGGTGTGTCCTCGGCTGCCCACTGTGTTGGCAATGGCTTCGATGTCCAAATGTTTGAATCTAGACCAAAAGAACAAGGATTGGGAGGCATTTGGAGTGTCAGTTCTACTTTCTACTTTCTGTTTCTAGTTTTTCTTTTATCACTAATACCTTTATAGAGAGTTAATTCCACCTCCGCATTACAAATCCACAGTGTCATGTACCGTTTCCATCCTTCGGTCCAGTTCGACAGCGCATATCCCACTCAGGAACAGATCAAGAAGCAAATCGTTGATGTTTGGAAGAGATATGATCTGGAAAGACGCACTACCTTCGAGACTAAAGTTACGTCCGTGAAAAAGACCAAGAATGGCCAGTGGATTATCAACAATGACGAAGAGCAATATGGCCGCTTCGACGGTATCTTGGCTACGGTAGGAGTGTGTGGAGATCCTAAGATGCCACCGCTACCCAGCCAGGAAAAATTCAAGGGCCAAATCTACCACTCCTCTGAATTGGATGGCAAAGACGCCAAAGGCAAAAAGGTGCTCGTCGTGGGAAGTGGTGCTAGTGCCATCGAGGCCTTGGAGTTCGCCGTCAAGAATGAGGCTGCCGATATTGATGTTCTTTCTCGGTCCGATAAATGGATCATTCCTCGCAATATACTCGTGCAGTCTCTGCTAGCGTGCAATATCTTTGGCCAGGAAACCTCACTCTCGTGGATTCCCGAATGGCTGCTGCGCAAGTTTTTCTATCGTGATCTGCAAGACATTGCGCCGACAGACAAGGGAATATTTACCGGAACTCCGGTGGCCAATGACGAGCTGTTTAACCAGATCCGTGAGGGCAAAGCCCACTGGTTACGAGGTGATATCGTCTCTGTGGAAGAGAAGGGTGTGATGTTTAACTATCGATCTAAAGACGTCCCCAAGGGAGGACCTGGTCGTGAACGACTGGTCGAGGGAGATATCATCGTCATGGCAACTGGTTTCAAACGGCCTTCATTGACCTTTTTGCCAGATGAGTGTTTCGACGAACCCTACGGACCGCCTAGTTGGTATCTCCAAGTTTTCCCACCCAAGTACCCAGATATTTGCGCAAACAACAGCACCTACGTCGATGCAATTGGTACAGTGGGCAATATGCACATTGGAATCTACACGCGATTCCTGCTCATGTTCTTGACCGACCCGTTGACCAGACCTACTGAAGGATGGATGAAGACCTGGATTGATTTCACCAGGTTCATGAAACGTCTGGCACCCACCGGAGCATTTGACTTCTTTACCTATGCTGAACTGATCTACTGGTACTTCTTTGTCCTTGTTGTCAACCCGTTCCGTTGGAAGTGGGCGTTGTTTGTGTTTTTCGGTATTGGTCGAGGCTTGCCCTTGAAATTTGTGGAACAGGAAAACTCATTCCGCAGGGAACTGAAAAAACAGCGCAAGTCAAAGAAAGCTCATTGAATTGGGATGCTATGAAACGTGTTGAATGCCATGATGGAGGATGGATGTGCAGCGAAGCGACAGCTATGAGGGTCATCATAATTTTGAATAAGATGCTTTGCTGGTTGGTTTGGAAGACAATTGCCAAGTTGTATTTTATGTGATATAAAATATATAAAATATATAAAATATATAAAATTAGACATACCACCCGATGATAGAAAATGTACTCCATCATTGCCCTTTAATTTCTGGTATCTTCTTCTCCATGTTGTAGGCCAGATTGCCCCCGCGCAAAAAGCGACCTGGGATATAACCCTCCTCTTCCAGCCACAGTATAGGCCATAGCAAACTCACACCCAGGACACAGAAAAGGGTGGCAATGAGATGCCAACCAAAAACAATCCAATACCCAATATGTGGCATGATAAACTTGATAAACTCTGATGTTTGATACAGATCTTCTTGCTTGGAAATGTAGTACAGCTTATGATCACCATTGGTCGTAGCCTCGCTCTGGACCGAGTCGTACGTCAGATCTAAGACCGTCGTAAGAGTCACTGGAGCGACATGGAATGGAACAAGCCAAATGGAGAAGATCTGTGACATATTCACATAGAGTTTGAGTTTATCCTCATCAAATGCTAGAGGATTGGGTTAGCGTCTGTAGTCAAAATTATGTCGTCCATGACCTCAGAACTTCTCGTATTGACATACCGATAGAATGAATCTCTACCTCGATCCGGGGTGACATGATCTTGTACCATTGGAATATCTTTGAAACCCACCATCTGCTACCTTCAAATCTGGGCACTCGGCAGAATGGATGAACAAAAGATGCATTGTTGGCGAAATACTGCTTGAGGACGGTTTCTTGCAAAGACGGCGGCGACTGTGTCAGACGCCGGATAACGGTAGGTATATCGGCCACTATACGGATGAGTAGGAGATAAACCCAGAAGATCAAATTGACAACGCACCTGGGTTTTCCATTTTAATCGAGGTTCAAGAGTGTTGTTGGGAAGAAAAGAAGCAAAAGAAGCAAAAGATGCAAAAGATATCAAGGAAAATACAATGACGTCATGTTGGGTTTGTAACATGTGAATTTCATAGTTCTTCTTAAACAGGGGGGTTTCTTTCAATAAAACATGATTTATAGGGATATCAAAAGATTACCTAGGTATCTTTCTATCAACCTTAGGATATGCCAGATGCCGGTCTTGGTCGGCATGCCGAGTCATTATCTTCTGGCGGTGAGGCATAGCATACACATATAGTACAGCCATAGATTGAATTGATCCGGTGAAATCATATCACTTCAATGTATGTCGTAGAATGTAGATACAGATATGCATTGGTCAAGATGGACCTTGGGTAATCAAGAAAAACTCCAAAGTGATTGAATCCCAGAAAGAAATGCCTTTGAACATGGAAATTGCACGCTGCAACCACTTTTTTACCGCTTCCAGCTGTCAACCTTCTTTCGTCGCTTGTCGAAGACCTGACCCATGCCCACACCATCACCGCGTTGCCCGTCCTCGTTGCGGACTCGCTTCCGACTTTTTTCGAGTGCAGCTCCGTTGCTTTTGGTTCTCCGGGTGAGACGTTCAATGTTGTCTGCGCCCTCGTTAAGTCCCTTCCATTCATCGCCACCATACGTGGTATCCTTTCCGCGACCCCGTTTGGCCAATTCCTTCTTAGTCTCTTTCGGCAATCGGACAAAGTTGGTCTCTTCGTAGGTGGTACGCTCTGCCTCGCGCTCTCGGTCTTTCTTCGACTTGACCGTTCGGCCACCATCAATGATTGTGCTGCCGATACTAGGCTCAGCCATAGGCGCGGACGACATTTCAGCGCTGACAAATTCATCAATGACGTTGGATCGAATGGGCCTGCGGTCCTGGCGTTCGCGGCGTTCCGTCGTAGGCAGGGAAGTTGGCATAATCCTCGGGGGGCGATAAATGCCATCTCCGGGTCCTTCGACGGCGCCCTTGGAGGGCTGGGCCTTCTTCTGCTCGGCCACTCCCTTAGAGAAGGCAGAAACATTGGGTCGGTAGGCCATTTCATCGATGTCCTCTTCATTCTCGCTACCGCTCGCATCTTCATCTTCACCCGATGAGGCCTCGCTGTCTGATGTCGCGGCTTTGCGGCTTTTCTTAGTCTTGGCCGGCTGAGCCTTCTCTGTCCGCTCCGCATCCTCTGCGGCCTTGATAACCTTGTCCACCTGGTACTTCAATCTTCCTTCCAAAGGACGAACACCACGCTCGAGGAATACCCGAAGCTCGATCAATTTCTTGCGAATATCATCTTCGAGGGAGTTGTCCGTCGATTGGCTCTTCTCTTTCTGGGTTTGTTTCGCCGACACATTTCGCAGTTGGAATATAATCAGGAATACGAGGTTTTGCAAGTAGGAGAGGAGAATTTCGCTCTTGGTGTCGAGGAGAGAGATGCCATCTTGGGGAGGCTCGATCGTGACATCGGAAGGCGCATCCTTGTATGGCTTGGGTAGAGAGGAGGAAGTTGTCGATAGACAGGTGTTCAGAGTCTCGAGTAGTGTCGACAGACTTTGAGGGCGTGCAGACGCCTGTGCTGGAGCCATGGTTGGAAGTCGATGGTTTATAGAGAACAATAATTCGCGAAACAAAAAAATTTGGCCGCTTCGACGATAATCACAGTCACGTGCGATAAGAACAAGGCACCAAGGCACCAAACCAGGCATCCGTAGATCGTCATTGCCAGTCTGTCACTCGCAGTTTGTTACTTTGGCATTTTTACCTCTCTTCGAGTATCGCGAGTTTCTCTCACAGATGAGACCGTGATTCTGACTTTCTAGGGTAGCTTCGCGCTGTAAAGAACCCCTTTTCTTTCTTTCACGAACGCCCATTGAGACCCTAGCTCTGCTCCTATCCTTTGCCAAACAAACAATTGAGGTTGATTTCCAGACCCCCCAAATTCTATAGAGACACTCAACATGCGGTTCATCGATCGAGCGTTTTTTCTCTCGTCAACTCTACTAGCTATCCCTTCTTTAACCTCGGCCTTTTACCTGCCAGGTGTTGCACCAACCTCCTACGACGAAGGACAAGCAGTTCCACTTTATGTCAACCACCTCACCCCCAGCTTGTCTCGTGATGATCAACTTCATTCGGTCTTCTCATATGACTACTACCATCCAGCATTTGGGTTCTGCCGACCTGCCGACGGTCCTAAAGATGTGAGGGAATCTCTGGGGAGCATTCTATTCGGTGATCGAATTCGCACCTCGCCATTCGAGCTTCACATGGCAAAGAACGAGACGTGCAAATCGATATGTGCAGAGGCCAAATTCGATGATCGGAGCGCAAAATGGACCAATCGGCGGATAGCTCAGGGCTACAACATCAACTGGATTGTGGACGGGCTCCCAGCCGCGCAGTTGAACTATGACGGTGTTACCAAGACCAAATTCTACAACCCCGGCTTCTCTCTGGGTGATCTGGACGATAACGGGCAGGCTCTGCTCAACAATCACTACGATATTGTGATTGATTACCATAAGGTGGGCTTCGGCGGCAAGGATAAATATCGCGTTGTTGGTGTGCTTGTCCAGCCCGAGTCCCGCAAGGATTCCCGGAATTTAGAAGGAGGGGCCGCTGAATGTGGCACCCCGGGCAATGTCCTTACGCTCAACGAGGACGGGGAGACTACAGTCACCTGGACGTATAGTGTGTACTGGAAGGAGTCCCCCACAGCCTGGGCTACCCGGTGGGATAAGTATCTGCATGTCTATGACCCCAAGATCCACTGGTTCTCTCTCATCAACTCGGCTGTGTTTGTGGTTTTCCTCGTAGGTATGGTCAGCATGATTCTAGTCCGCGCACTCAAGAAGGATATTGCTCGCTATAACCGGCTGGATTCGTTCAACCTGGAGGATTTGGATAGTACTTCGGCTGCGATCGAAGACGGAGTCCAGGAGGATTCTGGATGGAAGTTGGTCCACGGCGACGTCTTCCGGTGCCCCCAATCTCCACTGCTGCTGAGTATCATGGTTGGCAACGGTGCCCAGCTGTTTATGATGACCGGTGTAACCGTTGGTAGGTAGCCCAACTCACGCTCTTCTTCTCTTGGGTGCTAATTCCTTTAATTGTTAGCATTTGCCCTGTTTGGCCTCCTCTCTCCTTCCAACCGTGGATTCCTGGCTACTGCCATTCTCCTGATTTCCGCCCTTTTCGGTGGTATCGGTGGCTACGTGTCGGCACGAGTGTATAAAACATTCGGTGGCGATGCTTGGAGGCGCAACATTATCATGACACCTCTGTTCACCCCTGCCATTATATTTGGTACTTTCTTCACGCTGAATCTCTTTGTTTGGGCAAAGGGATCCAGCGGTGCCGTGCCATTTGGAACTATGTTGGCACTGCTCTTGATCTGGTTTGTTATCAGTGTACCATTGAGTGTGGCAGGCAGCTGGTTGGGATTCAAGCAATCGGTATCAAGATCCCCTACTATATGCAAACATTCAAACAACTAACCTCACTTTCCAATAGCCGCTTGAGGGTCCTACCAAGACCAACCAAATCCCCCGACAGGTTCCTCCGATGGTTGGTAGCTTGCGCACAATTCCATCGATTCTGCTGACCGGAATTCTGCCCTTCGGGGCGATTTTCGTCGAGCTGTACTTCATTATGACTTCCCTCTGGACCAACAAGATCTACTACATGTTTGGCTTCCTGTTCCTCTGTTACGGCCTGATGATCATTACCTCTGCGGCTACTACCGTCTTGCTGGTATATTTCTTGCTGTGTGCAGAGAACTACCGATGGCACTGGCGTGCATTTATAGGCGCGGGTATGACCGGAGGATATGTGTTTGTGAATGCACTCATTTTCTGGGCGACACGAGTTAGCTTTGGTGGAATAACTGGGGCAGTGCTCTATGTGGGCTATTCGGCGTTGATCGCCTTCGTTGTGTTTGTTCTGACTGGTATGTTTTCATTCCATGTCTTCCGGATGTGCTTTTTTACTAACTTCTGTGTAGGTTCCATTGGTTTTCTCGCCAGTTGGGCATTCATCCACCGTATCTATGGCTCAATTAAGGTGGATTAAATGTCTCCCTATTGGTGCTTGTAACATTTAGCCTTGCATCTTGGGGTCTTCATGAGAGAATACTTTCCTGTTTCTCGTATGTTTTGTGTTAGTTTTTTTTTTTTTTTTTTCTTGTTTGTTCCCCTTCTCTCATTTCTTGGAGAGAAGTCGACTTTGTCGCAGATAGATTACAAATGTTTTTTATATGGAGAAATGAAAGTGACTATGTAACTATACAACACGCCGACTGAAGTTGATAGAAAAAGTGCCAAGGCCCAGAGCCACGGGACGTTCTGGACATCCTCCGTTCTCTCTCTCGTTTCGTCACCTTCTTCAACCTCTTCTCTATTCTATTCTTAGAAACGTGAATTTGTGTTGTATTAGTTTATCTTGTTTTGTCCTGTTTCCTCTTGATTTATTTTGTTTTATCTTTAAATCGCTTGGACTACTCCTTGCGTAGACCTACAACTCATCACTCAAACATCCCGCCTGTTTTTACCCCGCGTCACTACCTCCGAGCCCATTGCAGGACCACCTCTCCCCGATTTGGTTTGAAGTTGGTGCGCTTGATACTGTTCGAGGTATTTCTGACTATGGGCAAGTCGTAAGTTCTACCATCCTTTCCCATTGTTTGAAATAGCGGTGGAACGGACCCCGCGAGTTTCAGAATCCGCATTTATCTCGGGGAAGGAGTCAGGACCCAAAGGCCCCGTACTTTTGGTCTGAGATGTGGAATATCATGCGAACTGAATACAGAGAACCCTCGCTGACACCCTATTCCGCAGTCAATCAAAGCTTTCGCCGACGCAGCTCGATGAGCTGCAAAGGGCAACACATTTCGATAAAAAGGAGCTACAACAATGGTATAAAGGTATGCGGAGATGGGGGACACATATGAGACAAAATTCAAACCCGATTTGCTAATTGTGGGCTTGTCTATTAGGATTCCTCAAGGATTGCCCGTCCGGTACCCTGACCAAGGAAGAGTTCCAGAAAATCTACCGACAGTTCTTCCCCTTCGGTGACCCGTCCTCCTTTGCCAACTATGTCTTTCGCGTTTTTGATTCGGACAACAGTGGGATGATCGATTTCAAAGAGTTTATCTGCGCCCTTTCCGTGACTTCACGGGGCAAGATGGAGGATAAACTGGATTGGGCATTCCAATTGTACGATATTGATGGCGATGGGAAAATCACTTATGACGAAATGCTGGCCATTGTCGAGGCGATCTATAAGATGGTATGTATACAACAGGGGGTTGTGTGTGAAATCCATATCCTAATTATCCTAATAACTAACGGGAATACAGGTTGGATCTATGGTGAAACTTCCCGAGGACGAAGATACCCCGGAGAAACGCGTACGGAAGATCTTCCGGATGATGGACAAGGATGAGAATGGTAGTCTCGACATCGAGGAATTCAAAGAAGGCAGCAAACGGGATGAAACCATCGTCAGTGCCTTGTCGCTTTACGACGGATTGGTTTAGATCGTTGCTTGGGCGAAATACTGGCGCAATGTGAGGTATTCTCTTTTAAATGGGCGAGGGGGATGCATTGCATATTCTCTGTTTTCTCTGTTTTCTCATTATTTCCACTATTTTCTCTGTTTCTCTGTTTCTCTAGTTTGTGTGGTGTTTCCTCTTTTCGATTACCCCCCATGTCTTTTGTATATTTGAGAGTACAACCTTCCAAGGTTGGTAGTGAAGTGTGTATGTATACAGTGTCTATCAGCTTCAAATGTTGGCTTTGGACTGCGACTTTGATCTGACTTTGACTGTGTTCTGCTAAGACTATAACCGGAATGGTGGATCATCATCTCATATATAGTAATATGTCACAATAAAAAATCCCCAAAGTCGACACCGCCGCAGACTCACTACTAGCTCTTCTCCATTCTATCTGGAATTGATGTACAAGGGTATCTGGAAGACGCAAGAGTCAGCCTCCGGCATGCAGGGTGCGATCTAATGTACTGGAAGAAAGAAAAAAAAAAAGGCAAGGAAACATGGGAAAGAAAATATGTATCAAAATCACATCAGAAACAAGAAAAGCCTGCTGACCAGGTGATCAAAGAAGAAAAAGAAGAAACTCGTGAGACAGCGTAAAGAGGAATCAATATAGACCAATGTTAATATTAGCCAATATCAACCACCACATGCTAATGAAAGAAGCACGAATTGCACGAGATCTGGGGCGCACGGTAGACTGCCATCAAGTCTCAGAAGCAGTTGTGCAAGGAATGAGCAGCTTTCCGACAGTGGGTTAGGATCATCGGCGATCAAAAAACCAACTACTGCGCTTCCCGGTCGCTTCTTGCGATTGTACGCCCGCGACGTTCGCATTCCCCGGCCCGTCACCACCCCCGCGTAGTGGCTTCGCGATGCGCGAACCCCCGAAGCTAAAACTCGCATTCCCATCCATGCTCGGTAGGCCGCGAGTAGAGCCTTGCTTCGCCGCTTCGAGACGTTCCTTGACAGCGGTGAGTTGAGCTTCGAATCTATCAGCGTAGTTAGTATTGAGTATCGTCAAGCAAAATCCAGAATCAGTTAACGCATACCGGTGGTTGGCTTGCGTAAGCTTCTCTTGGCTCTCCTGGAGCAGGGATTCCAGGCTGGCAATGCGCTCGTTTCTTGCAATCAACTTCCGCTCAGCGATTGCGACCTCCTTCTTCAAGCTACTGTTTTGTTCAACGAGTTGACGTTGTACATGGGTCAGTTGCTCCAGGTTGCGCTCCAAGAACGCCATCTTCTTCTGCTGAGCCCGGTTATTTGATGATCGAAGCACGTTGTTATACTGCTCTCGTGCATCGTCCAAGGAGATTTCCAACTCGACGACACGCTCGCAGCGGTTCTGCAGGTCACGCATGAGAGACTTCTTCATGGCATCGAACTCGGTGATCTGCTGCTGCAAAGTCTTGCTTGCAGCACCATTGGTGGAGGTTCGGGACTGGGTGTCGACAAGAGATTGTCGCAACTTGGTCAACTCCTCATCCTTGCGCGAAATGTCAGAGCGAAGATCCTCCGCCGCCGCACTCTCAGCCTCCTTCTTTGTCGCGTAAACCTGCTCTAGTCGTCCTCGAATCTCTTCCACATCGCCCTCGCCCAAGTTGCGCGTCAGGAGACTCTCATACTCTCGTTGCAGGTCATCTAGCCTCTTTTCCAGGTCTGCACGGCGGCTGTCCTGCAGCTCGCCAAAGTCACTTCGGTCGTTCACGGTCAGCTCAGCCTGTCGGATAAAGCCTTGTGCCTCAAGAAGATTCGTGCGAAGGTCAAGAATGTCGTCTGGTGCAATGACTTCACCTTCGGAGCTGATTTGGTGTAGAGCATCGACGCGCTGGATGAGATCCTGCAACTTGCGTTCGTTATCGGAGAACACATCGCCACCGAGGTCAAACCCAGCCATCATCTTCGCCATCTTTTCAGTCTTCTTCTTTTCCTTCTCATCAAGTGCCGCAGTGGTCTCCTTTGCCCTCATTCGGACATCCAGAAGCTGCTGCTTCACTTCATCTAGCTCGCCTGTGAGTTCCAAGTTGGCCTCCCGGAGGCCATCCATGGTGATCGCGGCTTCCTTGCTCTCATAGGAGACTTTCTCGAGTTGCATGCGGAGCTCGTTGACTTCTGTTCCCAAGCGTTCATTATCCTTGCCTGTTCGTGTGCCATTCTCCTTCATAGACTTAAGCTCGTCGCGTGCCTCGCGGAGGCTGCGCTCCACGTTGACAATGTGTGACTCCTTCTCCGAGAGCTGATCTTGGAATTCATTCTCACGGCGCAAGAATTCCTCACGCTCGTCCTTCTCCAGCACCAGGCTGGGAGTGCTGGACCGATCTCCAACCCGTGAATCTGGGCGTGGGGTTTCTGAACGTGCAGTCTCCTGTAAACGCGAGGGGGTACCCGGTCGTGGGGCCCGGGCTTCAGTTTTCGCAGCACTGACAATTTCGTTTCCTCGCGAGGGGGTCCATTGGTCCCTGGGAACGCTATCACCGCTACGCCACATGCTGACTTCGCCCTCAAGCGCTGAGATGTAGCTTTCGAAATTCGTCATTTGACTTTGCGCCTTGCGTAGCAGTTGCTTCATCTCAGATGAGCTCAGCTCTGCATTGACCTTGGCCTTGTTCTTGATGGCCTTGGCGCGCACACCGAAACGCAAGGTTGAGATTGTTTCCGCATCGTTGTAGCTGCTGGGCGAACAGTTGATAATCAAGGTCGTTCGAGAGTTACCACCGAGGGACTCTTGGAGAATTCGAGTGAGTTTGGAATCACGATAGGGAATGTGTGTCGATTTGCCATCAGTCAATGCGTTGATGACCATTCCCAGCGCACTCAAACTCTTGTTGATCTTCTTGGCTTCCTCCAGAGTCTGGCCACTTGCGCCGGTCTTCCCGACCTTTTCACTACCGGCCAAATCAACCAAAAACAATTGTCCACTCTTGGCGGACCCAGTCTCAACATTTTTCTGGGTGACGGTGATAACGAAGATGGAGTGGGAGCGAGACGATTCTTGGTTCATGTTGGTTGCAGCGACGGCGCGTGCCGCTCCTCCCCGGCGCATAACTTCGTAGACCTCCTGCACGCTGGAAACGTAGACCTCCAGCAATCCCTTAACGTAGACTCCGCGAGCTTTCTCTTCGTGGACCGGTAAGTTGTCGTTTTGGGGCACGAGTAAATCACGGATCCGCTCCATGTAGATTTCCATGTAGCTGACCCGTACGGTATACTCGATGTTGCTCGGGCTAGTCAAGATACTGGCGAAGATTTGCTCGATCATGCGTGGAATGATACCTTTCCCCATGTCATCATCGATGTCGGAACCCATCATCGTATATGATTTTCCGGCACCAGTCTGACCGTAGGCAAAAACTGTGCCGTTATATCCATTTAGAATATCGTCCACAGTCGGTCGGATAGAGAAGTCGAAGATATCGTTTTGCGCGGTGTCCATAGGGAACACCCGATCAAACGTGAAGGCCCCTGTGCCCTCTCGGGACTAAAATATTGGTCAGTATAGCCCTCGTGGTTTCTGACTTCAGATCGGACTCACGTTGATGCTACATGACTCTTCATTCTCGAATTCGACGATGGGCTTACCCCCAGAGGACAATTCGACCTTGTTTTGCGGACGGAACCTAGCAACCACTATAGATGTACACTCAGTCTCAACTCAATAAAATGCGCCTTGGTTTATTATGCCAGTCTGTGCATACCCTTGATGGTGTTCGACCCCGCGGACCTGTGGAACCATATTAGCGATGGCCAACACACGATAGCACCGAGCATATACTCACGCCATGTTTTTAGAGTGTGAGTATTAGCTATGACACGCGCAAGCTAAAAGATATACCCCGAGCAGGGGGTAGGTGGACCTCGGGATTCGTCAGAAGCGTTTCAAATTAGAACTCGTCTGTTGCGGTGTAGTGGCTCGGAGGAGGGGGTTGAGGGTCAGGGGGTCCACGTGCACCGTGGACCAAAACGTTCAGGAAATGAAGGGGAAAAAATAAACCAACAGTCAGGCCGCAAAGAAAGGACGGCCAAACCAAGAAGACCTACAAGGGGACTTTGTAGGGGAGGGGGTAACGCGAAAGAGTGGGATTTGAACTGTTGACAGTCACCCCGTTTGGGCTTACCGCCCCCGGACTCGGATATGCAACCATCCTGCAGATAAGCTTAATTACAACCATTGAAGGAAGCAGATACCTAGGTATGTGCATATATAGGTAATCGAACATCTAATTTACTTGCATGTCCAGTTATATTCTCTACAATGCAAGATCAAAGCACAAAGTTTGCAGGAAAAGCAGGCTAATGCATCAAAAAAACTATGAGACTAATCTTGTAAAGCTCGCCTGGGATGACTTGGTAAAGGATGAAGAATCATGAACTAGAGATATCAAAAAAGAGATATCATATGAAATGGAAAGAAAACGACGGTAAAATAGAGCAGAGAAAGAATAAACGACCTGAAAGAATAAGATACCAAGCGCCAGAAACCCCATGCTGTGCAGATCAAACGGTCAAGCGGTTGTGCTCATTCATAAGAATATCAGCCCATCAAACTCGGCTGAGCGAATTTGTTGGCTCAGTTGTCCTCCCAGCTTTTCTCGACTGTCTCTCGCACTCGCTTGGTGTACTCTTTGCGGTTGTCTTTGTAGAGGTTCGAGGCCTCGACGTTGGCCGGAGATGAAGTGTTAGGGTCATTCAAAAGACTATAAGTAACAAACCGCATATTAGTATATGTGTGGTGATCTTTCATAACCAAGCCCACCCTACCTTTGAATGCTGGTAAGAATAGCTGCCACATCATATGTCGGACTCCAGCGGTTCTGCAAAATATCGAGACAGAGCTCGCCGGTCCCATACACATTGGGATGGAACATCTGGCTTATGAATTTCACACCCGGGGGCTTGTTGGGGTATTGTTCTTCGAAGTTCATGACCAGGCGGAAAGTACCATCTTCGAACGGAGTATCGGCGGGGCCAATGATGACGGCATT